CCCTCCACATTCAGGATTTAATAAACCAACACCTTTACAGTGCCATCCATATTCTACAGCAACAAATTGACTTGCTGGTGAAAGAGATAGATACAGTTAGAGAAATTACCCTATTTGCCTGTGCCCCAAGGTATAAGGATATCTGTTTGACCCCTTACCCAGTCTCCAATATCACAGTAGCTAGAAAAAATTTAAAGGATTACATTACAGGCTCATGGTCCAATAAATTTCTCAATTACCCCATCCAATTGTGAGGACAAATTATTGCTCTTAATTATACTAGAGCTCCAGTTATAGAATTAAATACTCCAGTTATAGAATTAAATACCACATTCCTTGAACAGATCTGGGAAAATCTAAAGAAATTTTTTGACCCATCCTGGTTGGTCACTTGGGCCCTCTTGGGTTGCATAGCTATCGCATTAATCCTCTTGTTTAAGTGTCTTGCCCATTCCCTCTTCCAGCCAATTGGTTGACCTTAGCTGCTTGAGGGGGAGGGACTAAAGGTATAAAAGCTGGGAAAGCCTTGAGGCCGCTCTCTCCATTTTGTGCAGCTCCCAGAGTCACAGTACAGTGACCACAGTTCAAGCCTGGTGGGCTTGGGGACCCCAACAGATATAAATTAAGACACCGGAGGTGCAGAGGTTTAGATGCCAGTGCATGTTTATTGTGAATCAAACAAAGTTTATATAGGAATCAGATCAGGAGTAACCAAGAAGTAACCAAGGAATAACTAAGGATACATCACTAACAAAAAGTAACCAGGAAATAACCAAAGACACAGTATGTTACTACATTACCTCACCAGCTGAAACTCACATGAAGTTTACAGTATCCAAGATTCGGCTATGATTACTCTTAGCAACTACTCTAATTCATTATTCTTACATAGAAACCAAGCTATCAGTGCTGAGAGATTTTGGTGCCCATAAACTAAAACAGAACTCTTTGGTTATGTTTCCAAGACTGACAATCAGGGAAGCTTAGCCTGTCAACTCAAACCACAGAAGCAGCGAACAGGGAAGCTCTTAAAGTGGAAGCATTCTTTCTTCAATGCTAAAGTCAAGGCAGGCTGCCACAATCTAACACAGCAATGGCTGTGCTTATAGTAAAGCTCCCAACACTGGTGGACAATGACGGGTAAGATTCTCCCACAGTAAGTCAACCTAAGACAGGATGGGCATGAGGCTAGATGCACACTCCGATGACGGGTAAGGCTCATGTGTCAGGAGAACAACCTAAGACAGACACAGCTTCATAAAAATGTCCTAAGACCTGAGAGGACAGTTAGCCACTGCCTTCCCCGAGACTGCCAACAATTTAAAAAAAAAAGGGTGGACTGTAGGAGGCTAGACATGAGACCAATAGCACAGGTGCACCCTGCTTCCTGTTGATGAGCAGGAAGACGCTGACTGGAAATCTGCCCTGGCAACTAGAAACCAACAACACATCCACAGCTCCAATAGAAGGATGCCAACGAGACATAAAGGACCAATGGGAGGAGGGAAGAGGGTATAAAGGAGACACCTGTGTTCACAATAAACGAGCTCGCTTGCACATTGCCTAGTGAGTGTCCCGGAGTCTGTGTCATTGACTTCACACCTACTTATCCCCTGCCCCCATGGGGAGGAGGTCAAAGGGACCTTGGCTGCAACAGTAGAGACACTTGTACAACCATGTTTGTGCTGCTCTTTTTACAATAGCTAAGAGAGAGAAGCAACCTAAGTGTTCCTCAACTGACGAGTAGTTAACAAAAGTGTGGTATATTTACACAATGGAGTTCTATTCAGCAGTAAAGAAAGATGAAATAAAGAAATTTGCAGGTAAATGGATGGATCTAGAAACTGTTACACTAAGTGAAGTAACGCAGACTCAGAAAAACAAGCAATGTATGTTCTCCCTTAAATGTGGGTCCTAGCACCAAATCCTTTTAAATTCCAGGTCCTTTTAATAAGATGATGCTATACAGCAGTCCCTTCTGCATGAAATAACTACCATCATCATGACTTCAGCTGAGCCTAATCGCTAAACATAGTCACAATTGGGCTCATTGACAGTTTTGCTCATTCATTAAAGGAGTGCCAAGCAGGGTCACTGGACCCTCACTTGAGTATCCAGCCACTCTTCCCAGCCATCTAGTCCCGCCTTGGAAGATAAAAGAAAAATGAGGAAAACCCCAACAGAGGGATGCTTTTGGAAGCCCTTGTTAAGAAACTCAAATGGACCCTCATATGAACTTTTGAAAATTGCCGTTCTGACTTTTTTCTAGTTCCCTGTCTAGAACTTGTAATGCTAATTACTCTTGCCTTTACTTCTCCTTCACATCTCCTATTCATAATTCAAGGACTTTCTTCTCCCCTTAGAGACAAGAGTTATGCAATCTGGGAGTCTTTTAGATAGACTCACTGAAGGGATACTCCAGTTGCCTCACCCTGTGTCCCTGTTCAGCATGGAAGAAGTCAGACCAGTCTGCGTCCCTATTCCCTCTTGGCAATTTGGGTAACCCCTTCAGAGGATGGCGTGGTAAGAATAGGAGGTAGGAATTGGGTAGGCAGTAAAAAGACCCCAAAGAAATGTAGCCAGTTTTTTGGCTTAAAGTCAAATGTCTTTGGG